CGGTAGGAGTCCCCGGCTGTTGATGATCGGTGATGGAAGGGACTGTATGACATCCCCGGTGGAGCGGTGATGGGGGATGGGTGACGTGGTATTCCGTTCCCCTGCACGGTGTATGGGGGGTGGGGGAGGATCCAGGGAGGTGGTAACGGAGTCCCGTCCAGTCTACGTCCCGGATGGGAGGGGGGATGTGTCGGGGAGGCGGCCCGGGGAGGAGCCGGGGTCACAGTTGCGGGTTTGTTTCCTCCGGTCACAGTCGGCTCCGTGTCCGTGCTCCAGTGTCCGCCCGCTCCGGGTGTCCCCCTCCCTCCCGTCCAGCATGGCGATGAGAGCCCGCGCTCTGTACGACTTCCGGGCGGAGAACCCGGGTGAGGTATCCCTGCGGGAGTCGGAGGTGCTGAGCCTGTGCAGCGACCAGGACATCGAGGGCTGGCTGGAGGGAGTGAACAGCCGAGGGGAGCGGGGACTCTTCCCGGCCTCGTATGTGGAGGTCCTCCGTGGAGAAGCTCTGAGCCCCCCGCCGCCCCCTCCACCTACCGACACCCGGTATGCCAATCTTCCCCCCGGGGGGTACGAGCCGGCCCAGCCTCCCCCCAATTACCGGGCACAGGAGTCCTTCCAGGCATTCCCCCGCCCCACCGCCCTCCCATACCAGCATAGCCAGCCCAGCGATGACGATTGGGACGACGAATGGGACGACAGCAGCTCCACTGCCGCCGACGAGCCTGGTGGTACCCCAACCCCTGGTTACTACGGAGGCGGTTTCCATGACTACGAGAGCAGCCGGTACCGCATTTCCACCCGTTCCGAGATCCCCCCCGGCTCCTACAACACCACCAGTTCCACCGCCTCTTCTGCCGCCAAGGGAACGGCCACCGTCAGCCGCCGCACCTCAACCGCTTCTCGGCTTCGTGAAAAGCGGCGGCGAGGCGTTCGTTTTGGGCGAGGCGGCAGGCTTTGTGAGAGATGGTGACAAGCTGTGTGTGGTGCACGGTCCACATGGGCCTGAGTGGCAGGAGAACCCCTACCCGTTCCCATTGTACCATCGATGAGCCCACCAAGCAGACCAAGTTCAAGGGGATGAAGAGCTACATCTCCTACCGCCTACTACCCAGCCACACCAACCAGCAAGTCCATCGCCGATACAAGCACTTCGACTGGCTCTACGCCCGGCTGCTGGAGAAATTCCCCGTTATCTCTGTGCCACGCATCCCAGAGAAACAAGCCACCGGCCGCTTTGAGGAGGACTTCATCTCCAAGCGCAGGAAAGGCCTGGTATGGTGGATGGACCATATGTGCAGTCACCCGATACTGTCTCGCTGCGACGCCTTCCAGCATTTCCTCACCTGCACGGATGAGAAGGCCTGGAAACAGGGCAAGAGGAAGTGCGAGAAGGACGAGATGGTGGGGGCCAACTTCTTCCTCACCCTCACCACCATGCCGGGATCTCCGGTTTTGGAGCCCCAAGAGGTTGACGGAAAACTGGACGCCTTCAAGGCTTTCGCGAAGAGGATGGATGAAGGCGTTCTTCTGCTCAACCAAACTGCTGGAGAGTTTGCCCGTAAGCAAGCTTCGGGCTTCAAGAAGGAGTACCAGAAAGTTGGACTGGCTTTTAAAGGTTTGGGCCAAGCCTTTGAGATTGACCAACAGCCCTTTTCAGCCGGTCTGAACAAGGCGATGTCCTTCACAGCGGATGCCTACGATGTCATTGGGGAGATGTTTGCTGAGCAGCCCCGTCAGGACCTGGATCCAATTATGGACTTGCTGGCAGTCTACCAGGGTCACCTAGCCAACTTCCCGGACATCATCCACGTTCAGAGAGGTAACCAAGCTTGCCTATTTTGTCTATGCTGTGCTTTCTGCAAACATAAATTTTTACCTCCGCAGATATTTGTAATAAAAGTTGAAGTCAGTTTGGAAAAAAATAATAGCTGTAGGCTACCCAACCTTGTGCATTAAACCTCTTACCAGAGGAAAGCATCACAAACTTGGATTCATAATGATAGATAAATCTTTCTTCACCCGTTTCCTGGCAGGATTCATTCATAAATAAATCATTTCACGGCTGAACTATAGCAGTAGAGTTGCTATCTGATTTTACAGTAAACTCTTCCTCTGTTGAAAGAAAACAAGAAGTGTCAGCCTTGCGTATCCTCCTCAAGTGTCTTCAGTGCCCTGGAAGCCTCTGATTGAACCTTTCTCAACTAGGTTTCCATGGAACCCTAGAGTTCCTCTAGAGGTTTCTTAACCACTTGCCTACCGGGCACTTATACCCCCTTCCTGCCCAGGCCAATTTTCAACTTTCAGCACTGTTGCACTTTGAATTACAATTGCGCGATCATGCAGCATTGTACCCCTATGAAATTTTTATGATGTTTTTTCAAACACATAGCTTTCTTTTGGTGGTATTTAATTGCCACTGGATTTCTTATTTATTGCACTATAAACGAAAAAATGCAAAAAATTTGAAAAAAAATAGTTTTTCTTTCTCTCTATTATAAAAATTTACCCAACAGGTAATTTTTTTCCTTCACTGATGTGTGTTGATGAGGCTGCACTGATGGGCACTGATGAGGCGGCACGCGTAGGCAGTGCTGATGGGCGCTGATGAGGCGGCACGCGTAGGCAGTACTGATGGGCAATGATAGGCTGCACTGATGAGGGGGAACGCGTAGGCTGCACTGATGGGCAATGATAGGCTGCACTGATGAGGGGGAATGCGTAGGCTGCACTGATGGCAATGATAGGCTGCACTGATGAGGGGGAACGCGTAGGCTGCACTGATGGCTGCACTGATAGAGGGGGAACGCGTAGGCTGCACTGATGAGGCGGCACGCGTAGGCAGTACTGATGGGCACTGATAGGCTGCACTGATGAGGCGGCACGCGTAGGCAGTACTGATGGGCACTGATAGGCTGCACTGATGAGGCGGCACGCGTAGGCAGTACTGATGGGCACTGATAGGCTGCACTGATGAGGCGGCACGCCTAGGCAGTACTGATGGGCACTGATAGGCTGCACTGATGAAGGGGAACGCGTAGGCAGTACTGATGGGCACTGATAGGCGGCAGCGGTGGGCATTGATGAGGCACTGATGACACTGCACTGATATGCAGCAATGATGGTCACTGACTGGTGGCACTGATGGGCGGTGCTGACTGGTTGCACAGATGGGTGGTACTAAAGGGCACAACTGCTGAGCGGCACTGGTGGGAGGCACTGCTGAGCACTGGTGGAAGGCACTGTTTGGAACTGGTGGGTGGCACTGCAGGGCACTGATCATCAGTGCCAATGTGCTCTGTGACAGCTGCCGGTTATCGGCGGTACTTCACTCATGCTGTGACAGCGCAAGGAAAGTGCTGCTGATAACCGGCAACTGTATTTACTCCATGATCTGCTGTGTTATTGGATACAGCTGATCACATAAAAGGCCGCTGTGATTTGCCTTTTACCTCATCACGTGATCAGCTGTGTCCGTAGGACACAGAGATCGCCAGGTGCGCGCAGGAGGGCGCGTTCTGGGAGGACGTCATATGAAGCCCTCCCAGAACTGGATAACCGCGCTGTAGCCGTCATTCTGCTATAGCGCAGTTACCAAGTGGTTAGCAATGAGCAATTTCTCTGCCTCTGACATAAGTGCCCACTGACACCATTGATCTGTATCTCTAACGGCTACAAGTATAAGGAGTATTCTTCCCACCAACCATCACACTAATATATCATGAGTTGTAGATATAGTAATTCTTAGCAGGAGTTTCCTGAGAACGGAAAGGTATTTCAAGGGTTCCTCTGTGTTGAAAAGTTTGAGGATAGCTGTCATAATCCAATCTTTCTCAACCAGGGGTTTCACGGAACCCCAAAATTTCTCCAGAGGTTGCCTCTTAAATATACAACCAACAACACCACTGAGTGGCACTGACTATAAACATAAGGAGAAGTCTTTCCCTCTGATCATCATGTACCATGAGCTGTAGATAGAGTTCCTTGAGACCAGAATCATATTTCAAGGGATCCTCCACATTGAAATGGTTGAGAGGGGCTGTACTAAATCAAGGGTGCTCACCAATGTGAACTTTGACAGAATGGCAGAGATGATGTATAACTGCACTAACACACAAACCTTGCTAGCGTCAGGTCAGTAAAAGATGATTATCGGTCACTTTGGGTTAAAGTACTATTTTTTTGGATAGTAAGCCCAAAAGCAGCCAGATATATTGCAGCTTACCAATCTGTAATTGTGCATGCATTAGTTTTCCTTTGTTTCTTTTAGCTGGTGATCTGGCCAGTAAGTCTCTGTTATTTTTCAGCTTTTTTTTTTTTTTAGCAGACCTAATTGTCCAACAAAAGTGGCAGTCGGAGGGTTGAGACAAACAATTTACCACTGACAGTGCTGCTTACTATTTTCATCTTTTATTCATTCATGTAAAAAATGTATCACAAAGGGAACAAAAAACTTGCTGTACTGCTTATGAAGTTTTAGTTGGAGTCCAGCTTTAATTTATTTATTTATTTCAGGTACTTATATAGCACTGTCAGTTTACACAGCACTTTACATATATATTGTATATTCACATCGGTCCCTAACCCTCAAGGGGTGTATAATCTAAGGTCTCTAACTCACATTCATACATACACATACTAGGGCCAATTTAGAAAGGAGCCAATTAACATACCAGCATGTCTTTGGAGTGTGGGAGGAAATTGGAGTACCCAGAGGAAACCCACACAGGGAGAACATGCAAACTCCAGGCAAGTGGTGCCGTGGTTGGGATTTGAACCGTTGACCCTAGTACTGCCAGGCGGAAGTGCTAATTATTTAGCCACTGTGCTGCCCCACAATTTGTTAGTCAAGTCCATCGAAATCTTCTAGTCAAGGGGTGGGCAACTGTTGCCCTCCAGCTGTTGGTGAACTACAAGTCCCATCATGCCTCTGTCTTTGGGAGTCATGCTTGTAACTGTCAGTTTTGCATTGCCTCATGGGACTTGTAGTTCTACAACAGCTGGAGGGCCACAGTTGCCCACCCCTGTTCTAGTCCATCTAACACTACCTTCTCCCCAGAGAGATAGTGCTGCTGTCCAAGGGTGGCTACATAGAGTGGAGAAACACTCAAGGCTTGGTTTACACTTGCAATTTGTGGGGGGGGGGGATGCTAAAAATAGGCAGATGAGTTGTGTTTTTACAGCCCCTTTTGTATGTGAGCTGGGGTTGTGCCACTTTGAAGAGAGATCCACATTGGATTGCTTTTCACAAAGAGTGACACAGGTGTAACTGAGCCCAAAGACAAGAGGTGAGTTACTGGCCAGATCACCAGGTGAAAATAGAGGGAAAAAAGCCTAAAAAATGAAAACTAATTTAGCCACCACATCTAATGAGTGGTAAGCTGCATTATACTGATTTACAGCAATAGCTGCTCTTTGCTTCTTATGTAAACCAGATAAGATGGTCCATTACCGCCTTCTTTGGCAAAGAATTAAGAAGTCTAGTGCATTTAACCTGTTCCCACCAATACACACACATGTGTGTCTCTCTCAGCGGGTGGGCCTGGCAGTCAGAGGCTGCATATATGCGTTCCAAAATGTACACAAAGCTGTGGTGAGAGCGTGTGCCCTGCGTGCTCCCACCACAGGTACCAGCGCCTAACGCGATCAGGAGATTTCTGATCATGTGACCGCCAATCACGCCAGTCATATGATCATAAACCAGGGTGGATTTGATTTAAATCATTAGTGAAAAGGCTCATTTTAAAACATGATTTTAATCTTAAATAGAAAACTATCTTTATATAGATTTTTACTCAAAAAGCATTTTAGTAAAATAAATAAAAATCAAATTTAAATTAAAAAAAAAAATCTATTTTTTTTAATCGCTTTTTATCTACCCTGTCATAAACCCCACTTCCCAGCATCAGAAACCCCCTTTAGGTTCTGTTCACACACTATGCAGTTTGCTTTTTGTCCATTGTGCAGTGTTTTTCTCTGTTCGTTTTTGGGGTTTTCTACACATGTTTTTGATGCATTTTCTACGCGTTTTCGCATTTTGTTCAGCTCTTCTTCCCTTTTTTTTTTTTTTTTTTTTTTGGTAAGTGGAATTTTCTTTTTTCTGGGCAGAATAAAAATGCAAAACGTGTCAAAAACGCACTGCCATGCATTTCAGCAGCTTCTCCATTGAACTCTTTTTAAAAGCAAAAAGCAGTGTTTTTGCTACAAAAAGTCCCTGACCCTTTCCAAAAATGCAGCAGCTCAAAAAAGCATAAATGTGAACGTGTTCTATAGGAAACTGTTAAATGGACTGTAGTGCATTTCTGCAAAAAAGCACAAAAAAAAAAATGCATTGGTGTGAATAGAGCCTAAAGGGCTGGAAGGCGCCAGCATTAAGGGGTTAAAGGAAACTGCCTATTTTTTTTTAGCTGGTCATGAAACTCTCTTCAGGATAAAAACTGATGCCTCTTTGTCAACCATCAGAAAAAGATCCAACCTCTGAAAGGGTGTTAGCCATAAACATGCATGCCTGGATGACTATGTCAGTGCAGCCTGGAGGGGGCAGCACACTTGGACACCCAGTGGTTATGGCTGATCTGTATTTCCACTGAAGGGTGACTGGGGGACATTATTTATTTCAGGTACTTATATAGCGCCATGAATTTACGCAGAGCTTTACATATATATTGTACATTCACATCAGTCCCTAACCCTCAAGGGGTGTACAATCTAAGGTCCTAACTCACATTCATACATACACATATTAGGGACAATTTAGACAGGAGCCAATTAACCTACCAGCATGTCTTTGGAGTGTGGGAGGAAACTGGAGTACCCGGAGGAAACCCACG